CCAGATCAGGTTCCTGTTTGTAACTCAGAGCTTCTGAGCTGATCTCTTGATGTTGTCCTGCTGTTCCAGTGAAGATCCAAAGATAAGCAACAACTAAAGCTGGCAGAAATAATACCAAAAGTGGAGAATTTGGGTCTTTAATACCTCTGGAGGGGATCTTTAAATGTTTGTGACATTATGTTTATGAAAATAGCATCTCTGCAGCTTCTTGATCCTGTTCTAAGACTGTTTTATAGTCTGAACTGAACTTTATCTACAGACAGATGGTCTTAGACCAGGAACTATTGATTTCTCACAGATACTTTTGTGATGAACATCACAGGATATATCAAACCAACACTTCAGATCACCAGCTCCTCCTTTCAGCCCCATCCTCACACAGTCTTCTCCAGCTGGATTCATTTCTTTCCAGTCATCAGGTTCCTTGTTCATCCAAAATGTCAAACTAAGAGGTTAAGAACAGAAACAAGAGAAATAAAAACTGTGACTTTAATACTGGAAATAAACCAACATGTTTTCACTACAATCAAACCTTTTGTCCAGAGGTGATCCATCCACCCACAACCATTTGCCTTCTTCCTCTGAGTCTGTCAGTCCGATCCAGAACTTGTCCTCACCTTCCTCCATCCAGTCTCTCAGTCTGATCTCAAGGAATATCTGAATAGAAGAAGACGATGAAAAGAGACTTTTTGGTGCTGAGATGAAGAAAGATGATGATGATGATGATGATGATGATGATGATGATGATGATGATGATGATGATAAAATCATGAACCTGCAGCAGTGTTTCATACCTGCTCATCTCTGCTGTCGATCTTCACCAGGTCTCCTCCCTGAGCTCTGCAGGAATCTCTGCTCTCATTCCAGGAGGACTTCCTGGTGTTGAACTTATAACACTTTCCTTGATATCTCTCCCATTCTGGTCTGTTATTCAGACACATTTCCTCTATAAACAGATCAGAACAACAATCTCACTGAGTCAGGAGGAAGAAATCTCTGTAGATGTTTGAGAGATTTGGAGGCAGCAGGAGGCGTCTTCTGTCCTGCAGCTACAATCTAACTTCCTGCATCTGTCAGTCCATCAGTGTTTCTATAACATCATCAGAGGAGAGAAATGAGACAAAAATAATGGACTTACTTTTTACTTTAGGTGGAGGAAATGTAGGAGGCGGAGGACATGTGCTGCTTTCATGTTTTC